ATAGACACGAGTTGAAAACTTCAGTTTTTAAAACTTTAAAAAAGATGCATTGATTTTTATGTGTGGATGTTTTGCCCGCATGGTGCAGTACCCAAGAAGGCCAGAAGAGGGCATCATATCCCCTAGAATTGGAGATAAGGGTGGTGGTGAGTTGCCCTGAGTTTTGTGAGCCACCACATATAGATTGAAAACCGAACCTGGATCCTCTCCAAAAGCAATCGGTACTTTAACCACGGAAATGTCTATCTATCCCCCGACAGCTGTTCAGCCTGCGTTCTTATAAAGCCCAGGATCACCAGTCAAGGGACGGCACCCCATACAATGGGCTGCACCCTCCCACATCAATTGCTAACTTAGAAAATGCCCTACAGGCTGGCTCATAACTTGATCTTATGGGGGTATTTTCTCAATTGAAGCTCCTTCCTCTCAGATGACTACAGTTTGACAAATTTGCCTAAATCTATCCAGCACAGAGTTGAAACTAGGAAAAAAAAAAAAAAAACCTTTTCCCTCCCCTTTTATGACTCAGGTATCCTTTTGCCTACATTCAGGCCTTCCTTGTCACCTACTATTATCTCAAACTCTTTCCTTTCTATAATATTTGTACTTTTACAGACATGGTAAAGGGAGAATAATGTTCCAAATTTTAGCCAAAGTAGCCCGTTTCCAGAAGACCACCAGTATATCATTCTGTGTTCTAAAGCCCACAATCAGACAGTGTTTACTGAGACTTCCAACATCTTCAGTAAGGAAAGGTCAGACTACACCCAAACGTAGAGGTGCACTGCGGGTCTTGTTTGCTTCTGCCCTCTTCCCAGCGTTGCCTAAGCTTAGAACTATCAATGGGAAGGCAGGCAATTCTTCTCTGCTTCCCTAGGAAACTAACACGGCGGCTGCCACCTAAACAGGGACTCCAGCACACAGATCCGAAATGAGGCAGGGTGGAGCCCCTGCAGGGGACATGCCAGCGAGTAGACGTCATCCTCCAGACAGACCTGGGATAGAGGGCCTCCTTGAAGAGTGTGCTCTGCTGTGCGTGCTTAGGGGAAGAGGGAATGGACAGGTTGGCCTGGCCACAGCACGTGTGGAACTGTCGGAGAGCCGCCACTGCAGTCCCACAGCCCGTTTTGTAGGAAATATGATTTGCGGGGCTGGAGAGATGGCTCAGTAGTTAAGAGTACTGACTGCTCTTCCAGAGGATCTGGGTTCAATTCCCAGCACCCACATGGCAGCTCACAACTGTCTGAAGATCCAGTTGCAGGGGATCTGACACCTTCCCACCAATGCACATAAAATAAAGTTAAATAAACCATAATTTTTTTTTAAAAAAAGAAATACGATTTGCTCAGCTTAAAGGAGATCCCCTAGCAACATGCGAGGCGAGGCGTGTCCTCCACATTCGTCTGAGCGGACAAGAGAATGTTTATCATTAGATAAAAATGCGGCGTGAAATGGGGATGTTGAAATGTTGCTCGTGACTATGGAACAAATGGGACATGAGTGAAAAAGACAAAACCAAACAAAGCCCTTGTCCCTGGGAGCAAGCCCTAAGGTGCACGGAAAGAACTGGGTAGTAAGGCAGAAAACGGTGAGGTAAAAGGTGTGGATGCTATCTGTCCCTGCACACCAAATCCAACTCTTGGAACAGAAGAAGAGAAAAGAGCACAATTTACCATGGAGACAAAGAAACTGACAGTGGCCCTAGTTAAGAAACCGTGGTCATTAGGGAATATGCGGATTCCGAGCTGTTTGAATTGAGAAAAGGTTTTCAGCAGGCCTAGGAAGGAAGTCAGTAGTAATTGGTTCGCGAGGCTCTGGCCTATGGACGTGAATATGAATCAGCCTTCAGCACATTCCTGGCAACGGGACTAAGCCGCATAACGAGCCCTCCTCCTTTCCCTGTCCGTGTCTGCAGAACCACCCACTGTATGAAAGAAATCACTTGCTCCTTGAGGACTGGCTCACATGGGCCATTAGCAAGACTTGAATGCTGCCTGCCAACGTATCAATAAATTATAGCGATTAGAAAGCCGTTGGGGATCAGGTGATGTTATGAGAGCTTCGGATGTAGGAGGCAGCTTTTGATGCCAATTTACCAGGCCAGAGAGAACCCTGTGATTACTAAGACTCCCCTCCCAATATTTAACGCAACGGGACCCCAGAGGAGGTTTTGGTCCCTAGTGGCTTTATTAGGTTCCATATTAAAGAGAACACAAGATCTTTGGGGTGGGGGAAGTGCTCTCCAACCCAAATGACATGAATGAAAATGAATGAAATTGATGTGCTGGCAATGCTGAAGTCTGCACGGGCAGCCCGTATATTGCAGTTATGTTGAATTTGTCCATATCGGGTTTCCTGGTCTAAGTTGATGAGGACGACTGACCAGGTCTCTTCCTCCAAAAGAACCACTGCACAAACCAAGACTGCAGTCTGAAGGCGGCCAAAAGGACAGGAAAAGCAGGAAACAACCAAGAGCTACCCATGCTAGCGAGCGGGAGGGGCACACAGTGGGACCTGTGCCATGCTGGTGTGCTCAAGAAGCACTGGTAGAAAACTCAATGCTGTCTTAGGAAGTCTCCCCAAGGCAGGAAAGATTCCAAGGTGCATATCCTTCCGATGGATGGTGTCCTTCTTGTGCTGGAATCGAGCGATCTTATACAGGGGGACTCCCCCAACCATTCCTCACAGGGTAGCCACACAGGGCAACAGGAGGTGCCACAGGGAGCCGCAAGCATGTTGGCCTTCTAATAACGTAAAGGCCACGCGGGATTTGGTAGCCACTGGGATGGAGTGCATATCAATCTGTGGGTATTTCACGTAAGCCAATAGGAAGTTGCCAATAGATATGGAGATCAAAGAGCACAAGAAAATTAAAGCCCATCGGAACTAGGGGCGGGAACCCCCCCCCATGCTCTTTTGTGAGTAATACGGCTCATCTTTTCCCTCTCGGAAAACTCCTAGGATTAAAAGTGGTTCTGAGGAACAGTCTACACCTCAAAGTCAGAAAATTTATCCTGAAGACACAAACAGTAAAGATAGTAACTTGCGGAGGGCATAACGGTAACTGGTAAAGCTACCATCCGGCTCCTGGAGAACGGCTATGGATTAGAGGGAGCTAAACACGGTGGTATCGGCTGTCGACTGTGCCAACACGGCTCTTTGGATGGAACAGCTGAAAACAAGAGATGGGATCCTGTGCTCCTTTACATCTTGTTGATGTTTTGTTTTTAATATTCCTGGAACCCCTGCACCCCACGGCCAGTCCACCTTCGCCTGCAATGGATAGAGGTCAAAGTTCATAGCTTGCCCCATGGCTGCACACAAGTTCCGCTACTTGCTGTGTGATAGCGAACCTCACTTTATTATCCTTCCCACTCTTGGGAAAAATAATGCACTGTATAAACAGTGTTATAACCTCTTTACAGATTTAGAAAAACATCTGGAGGTTATGCACGTACATCTGTAAGAGCAATAATGGTATGTTAATCTATATAAGGTCCAAAGGCCTGGCACAGCTGTAAATTGGGGGAATTCTTGTGGCTTGGCAAGATATACATTAATACCTGTGAGAAAGGCATTAAATTTGTTTTTAAATTTTATTTTTATTTTATGTGGATAGGTGTTTTCCTGTGTGGTGGTTTGAATAAGAATGCCCATCCCCATAGGCTCTTTTATTTTATTTTTTTTTTTTTTGGTTTTTCAAGACAGGGTTTCTCTGTGGCTTTGAAACCTGTCCTGGAACTAGCTGGTCTCGAACTCACAGAGATCCGCCTGCCTCTGCCTCCCGAGTGCTAGGATTAAAGGCGTGCGCCACCATCGCCCGGCTTGCCATAGGCTCTTATGTTTGACTATTTGATTCTGAGTTTGAAGAACTGTTTGGGAAAGATTACAAGGTGTGGCCTTGGAGGAGGTGTGTCACTGGGAGCTGGTTTTGAGGTTTCAAAAGCCAAGCCAGTGCAGTTCCTGCTTTCTCTCTCTCTCTCTCTCTCTCTCTCTCTCTCTCTCTCTCTCTCTCTCTCTCTCTCTCTCTCTCTCTCTCTGCCTCATGCCTATGGATTGAAATGAGAGCCCCACCCCCAGTTACTACTCCACCACCATCCCCACCTTCCTGCTCCCAGGCTCCCCTGATCATAGCCCTCTGGAACGACGATGCCAAAATTAAGCTTGTCCTTCATAAATTGTTTTGGTCATGGTGTTTGGTCACAGCAACTGAAGAATGACTAAGGCTGCCTGTGTGTACATCTGTTGACCGTGTGTGTGCCTGGTGCTTATGGAGGCCGAAAGAGGCCATTGGGTCCCCTGGAACTGAAATTCCATGTGCCGTGAGTCACCACCTGGGTGTTGACAATCAAGATCAGGTCTTCTGGACGGGCAACCAGTGCTCACGACTGCTGAGCCAGCTCTCTCGCTTGTGTCTCTAAACATTAAGGGGAAGCAGATACAAGTATTGTAACGCAAGGGCCCGCTTGTTGGGGTTTCTAGGAGCCCTGAACATACCAACTGTCTTAGTCGGAGCTTCTGTGGCTGCAATAAAACACCGTTGCCAAAGCAACTCGGGGAGAAAAGGGTTTATTCCAACTTAGAGTTCCACATCACAGTCCATTATCAAAGGAGTTCAGAATAGGAACGCAAACGGGCAGAAACCTGGAGGCAGAAGCAGTGAAGGGGTGTTGCTTTCTGGCTTGCTCTTCATGCTCAGCCTGATTCCTTAAAACCCTCGGAACCACTAGCCCAGGAAGCAACCCCGAATTAAGAAAATGCAATATAGTCCTGCCCACAGGGCAGTACGGTGGGATCATTGTTGTGTGATAAGATTTTTTCCTGGGGAGACACTACACACGCCCACTCACCCCAGAGAGGAAGCCGATGACAGACCAACGTTAAGATATCACCAAAGACCAACTCGCTAATTGAATGAGTTTTAATGACGTTACAGGAATATGGATGAGAGGTGACTTATAGGAGCAGAACTGACTCAAAGGCAGCTGCATCACCAAAGCCCACCCCAGCATGGGTGACAGCTCACAGAGCTGGGAACCTGGAGCACACTGCACAGCCTGCAGGCATCTCAACAGGCTGCAGAGTGTCCTTTCCAGGTGACTCAGTTGTTTTAAACTAGTCTTCCAGGCAGCTCGGCTGGTTTCTGCTTCCGGGCAGCTGGTCTGCTCTCAGAGTCTTCTTTGCAGCTCGGCTTCTCTCAGAGGGACTCTCAGCAGCTTGGCTTGTTTCCTCTTGCATCGGAGGGGCCTAGTCAATCAGGTCAGTTTGGGGGTCTTCCTGGAGTTATTTTGAGTTGTTTTCCTGCTGTTAAAGAGGGTCCTGCCAGAATGTTTCACTATCAGAAGAAACTGCTACATGACAGTAATTTTCTTAGTTGAGGTTCCCCCTCCCGAAGCACCCCAGCTTGCGTCAACTTAGTATGGACACTCGCCGTGGCCGGCACATTTTTGCCCACCATCTTGCTCACGTTGCCTGTTTTTTATATAATCGGATAGAAGAGGGATCATGTGGGATTGGACCAAAAAGGTTCAAGAGGCTTTTGAGTCAGATAAGATTCTGGTGGCAAAGGCTGAATACTTATACGTTCCTGGGTCCCAGGGCCCATTGGTTTGCAGTCCAGAGGGCTACAGCTGGGGGTGACGGCAGAAACAAGTTCTTCTTATAGGGTTTGGGTTCCATTATTACTTTGCTTTGTTTTGCTTTTGCAGGGGGGGGGGCTTCCATTCTTG